TGCTGCATACATCCTTGTTCCCAATTAGCGCATATGGATTTACACCACTTGGAATAGGACCACTCAAATTATTGAAGGAAAGGTTCATGTCATAGATACTATCAAGAGGCATAGGAATCGCTCCGGAAAGACAATTGTAGCTTAGATCCAGACCATACAAGAATGGAAAATGTCCAACTAAGAAAGGTTCAAGGGAACCGGTTAGTAGATTGTGTGAAATGTCAATATTTTGAAGGTGCATGATGTTTGAAAGTGAAATGGGAAAGGTTCCATTGATTTTGTTGTTAGAGATTATTAGGGTCAATAGATTGGTTAGAAATCCTAGTGATGAAGGTATTTGACCTTGAAGAGAATTGTGGGATAAATCAAGATCAGTGAGTTCTGAAAGATTTCCTAGTGATGGAGGTATTTTACCTTGAAGAGAATTGTGGGATAAATCAAGATAAGTGAGTTTTGAAAGATTTCCTAGTGATGGAGGTATTTTATCTTGAAAAGAATTGTGGGATAAATCAAGATAAGTGAGTTTTGAAAGATTTCCAATTTCATATGGAATAGTCCCGTTTAGACTAGATTCGACGACCTCAAGATGTTCCAAGTTCTTGAAAGCAGAGAGGTTTAGTGTTGCCAATTGAATAGGCCCTTCATGATACATATATGTGATACGAGTTACACTTCCAGCATCATTGCAATGTATACCAATCCATGAACAGATATGATTTGAATCTGAGTGCGACAAATTCCACCATCCACTATTGATTATAGCGTTTGCTTCCAACTGAAGCTGCGATGGTGTAGACGATGCGGATTCCAATTCTAAAACAGAGCCTATGAAAAGCAAAGCATAAATAAAAAGATGGAAATTGTAAAGCAAAAAATGCATGGTTTGGAAATAGAGGTAATAAATAGAAGGTATATTTATGAGAAACTCAAGTTTCACTAAATTATGTTCACTCAATACCATGCTACCTATCTGCTCATTCTTATAATACTGTGATAAGCCTTTTGCCCCGCCATTGACGCCATGCATGTGTGACGGCATTGCTTGACTTGTAGAGTCTAATACGGACCCATTAGTGCAAACAATTCCACAACGTTTTGCAGACCTAAGAGTCAACTTCGAATATTTCAATGCATCCATTTCTGCGTTGTTGCCTTTGCTCACCCGAACACGTTCCACGGATAGGATTGTTTATAAATGGTTGTCGCACATAAACTATTACCAGAGATATCCACTGCTTTATTCGTTTAGTTCTGAGTAGATACTTTTATACACACTTTTTAATATTTGTTTTACTTTTTTGGTAATTTTTTTTTATTTATACAGGAGACTCTCTGTTAGCCATTATTACACTAAAAAATGTTTCGAAATGTTTTAATATCATTTTTATTTTAGAGTTTTGTCTCTTTGTAATAAAGTAAAAGAAAAATAAAATTTTATGTCACAAATAAACTTAATTTGACCCATCATTAACTAAGCATATTCTAAACTTGATTTGAGTCCAAATTCTAATTGTAGAAAATAGTTAACAATTTAATTTTAATTCACCAAAAACATATTATATATGTAATCTCTAATCTTATAAATATCTATTTTTCGGGTATTGGATGTTACGGATAGATTTATATATTTATTTTTCGGGTCTTCACTTATTTTTCTTATATTATTCATCCATTCCAATAAAACAAATTATTCAACTTCATTCTTATTTTATCATTTTCATTTTATTCTCTTTATTTTCTTTACTCTTTATTAATTTTGGTTTCTGGTGGTATCAATTAGTGGATATTCTCACAAAGCTATTACATCCTAAACCTTCGGTAAACACCAATTCTATTTCTGTCAACATATTAATACATTAATACTTGTATAAATAGTTTGTATTTGACTCCGTTTGTAAATAACAATTCTACTTCTGTCCATATATTATACTTTCTACATCGCAAATTATATAATTCTAAATCAATATATATCTCACCGTTATAAAAAGTAAAACATAAAACAAAATCGATTTTGTTATGTAATTAATGTAAACAAAATTTAATTATTATAAATAAGCCAATATGATACATGCTCAAATAGAGTATGGGATGATATTGGAGGGCGTGCAGGTTTCAATATCTATATTTTCAAAATAAAAATTCAATCTCTATTACCTTTATATTTAGGCATAAAGTTTTTGTTTCATTTTTATAATAACGGGCATAGTTAAACTTCCATTCTTATCTGTCTCTTTATTGTTCAAAATATTAACTAAATAATTTTTTCAAAAAATAAAAAATATATCAAATAAATTATCAAGTATTCAATACAAAAATATACAAACTTTCTCTGTAATATAAAATATTAAGAAAGAAATTAAAATTGTATAAATACGAAATAAAAGTAACAAATAACTAATTAAATAAAGATTAAATAATAACATAAAAGAGTAAAAAATTATGAAATCTATTTTTTCTATAAATAAATTACGAAATTAATAACCAAGATTAAGTTAATACAAGTTTTTTAATTATCTAAAACATTAAAAGTGTTTTTAGTAATTTAAAAGAAGATGGACATAAGAACAATGATAGATAATGTAACGAGTATAGGAAAAGAGACAAGACAAATATAAATATATTTGTTTGTGTTCCGTATCTAATTTAAAAAATTAAATATTAGTTATATCTATATCTATATACGGTCAATTTAAAAGTTATTCGTTTATTAACTTCATTTCTTGTCCCTAATGTAGTCTCAAAATACCCATATCCAAATTCTATCCATTAACCACAACAAAAATCTCACAAACCCACATTAAAAGCACACATATCAATAATAAATCCTAACAAAAATAAATATCAAACACTTATTGTGAATAATTAGTCTTCTTAACTAATGTTAGAAACTAATTTGAATTCTGATTTACAAACTAATTATGATTATTTTATTAATAATAGAAATTATTTTAAAAATTAATAATTTTTAATTTATAAAATAGTCTCTAATTTATTGATAATTACTTACTTTTGTCTCTTGCTATTTGATTATTTGCTATTATTTTATTAACCTTTTGTTGTTCCTAATGTAGTTTAAAAATATCCGTATCCAAATTCTATTCATTAACCACAACAAAAAAATAAATACAAACCCACCTCAAAAGCACACATATCAACAATAAATTTTAACAAAAATAAATATCAAACACTTACAGTAGATAACTTAATTAATGTTAAAAATCAATTTAGATTCTAATTCAAAAATTAATTATAATTATTTTTGTTATTATGGTAAGTCAAGCTAGCCGATGAGTTAGAGTATATGGAAGACGAGAGAATCAGACACAGAGAGTTAAGGTGTAATTAATGTGGTAACTGTCATTGATGGATGGTTAACGTTTGCATTAATAATAATTTAGAGGTCAATTAATAGGTTTGATTCTTGTAAACCCTATAAATAGATGTTTGATTCCAGGGTAAGATGGACTTTTTCATAATTAATTACTAGAGACCTTCGTATGAAACATATCTGACTTGAGCATTGGAGTATCTTCTGCAAGTTAACCCCCCTCGAATCGATCGGTCTAGCAAAGCAAGGAAAGGAGTGAACGTTCATCTAGGAAGAAGAAGTTTGTAGGTTCCATCCTCATCCCTATTCAGCAGTAACATTTTGGCACCCACCGTGGGACTGAGGATAACAGAAGAAACCTAATTGAGACCATAAGAATGGCGAAACAACCAGACCCGTTAACATTAGTCGTCGAAGAGATGCAAAGGCAAATACAAGCCATGCAGGCGGAGATTGCAACTTTACGAGCGGAGCGCGTTTTGGGGCAAAGATAATAGTTAATTCAACAGTCGGTGATGCCTACCCATGTTCCTACAGTGGAGCATGTTTGAACTGAACCAGAGGGAATAGGACAGGAGGCAAACAGTTCTAGGGCCCGGACGATCCGCACGACTAACACTGATCAAGTCGGGGGGCTTCACCCGTTTACAGTGGCTATTATGGAGGAACCAATGCTAGAGAAGATGCCTCCAGCGTTTGACAAATACGACGGATCAAGTGATCCAAATGAACATCTCAAATCATTTGTGGATGCTCCAAGTTGTGTGTGGATTACATGCAACTGAATAAATTAACCATCAAGAATAAATATCTATTGTCGAGAATAGACGACTTGATGGATCATTTGCATGGAGCGACGTTGTTTTCCAAGATCAATATGAAGTCAGGTTACCATCAGATTCTGGTAAAGACAGGAGATGTGCATAAGAATGTCTTCAAATCTAGATATGAACACTATGAGTATGTGGTTATGTTTTTTAATGTGACTAACGCTCTAACCATATTTATGGACTACATGAACAAAATTTTCGTACCTTTCTTAAATAAGTTTGTCGTCATCTATAACTGTTTCTACTGAAATGGGACGAGGATCTCCGACGAACGTCCTCCTGTTGTTTCCGAGCACCTGTAGCTACCGAGCGTCCTGAACGTCCTCCTGTTGCTTCCGAGCGCCTGTAGTTGTCGAGTGTCCTGAACGTCCTTCTGTCTTAACTCTAGTTAACCAAACACCGAATGAGGGGTGACTTGTAGAAGATACTCTGATGCTCAAGTCAGAAATTTTCTCTGTAGGCCTTTTATAATTTAGTAGTGAGTAAAATGTGAGTTTACCTCGAACCTAAACCCTTATTTATATAGTTTAAAGGAATCTGACAAATTAATTTACCTCTTAATGGTCATTAATGCAAACCTTAACTGTTTAACAATAGTCGTTATCACATTTATTTGTGCATTAACTCTGCTCAACGGTTGTCGAGACCGAACGGATGAGAGGCTCTTTCCTGCATGTTGAACATTCGGTTCCTTAGGGTCGTATGTCGTCCTAATCGATCGGTAGTATATGAGCCCAAAGTAAGGTAGAGACTCTCTTGCACCTTTACCGTTCGGTCGAAAATGAGCCCATAGTAACATAAGCACCCCAAGCCCTAGCAAAATTTTTGATATTGTGTTGGGTTTGTCAAGTTATACCGATCGGCACAGGGGTCATGACGATTCATACAATAACATGCGTTCCTTACCGACCGAGCAATTTTTAAACTAGGAGTTCCTTGGGAACGTTCATTAGGTAAAAAATGCTAAGGTGAGAGCCACAAAAGCATCGCTCACCGAACGAGCAATCTAGGAGTCCAAACTTTTCCTAGATAGAAGACGCTCGGGTAAGCACTACGGAAACGTTCCTTATCGAGCAGAGGATCTATGAGTTCGCTTACAACCAAGCTGTTTAGATCTTAGGATTTCACTTGGATCGTTTCCTAAGATCAAGGTGAGAGTTCACTAAGAGTGTTCCTCACCATTCGGTTTAGATCTTAGGAGTTCACTTGGAGCGTTCCCTAAGATCAAGGTGAGAGTTCACGAATAGCGTTCCTCACCGTTCGTTTTAGATCTTAGGAGTTCACTTGAAGTGTGCCCTAAGATCAAGGTGAGAGCTCACGAGGAGCGTTCCTCACCGTTCGGTTTAGATCTTAGGAGTTCACTAGGAGCGTGCCTTAAGATCAAGGTGAGAGGTCACGAGGAGCGTTTCTCACTGTTTGGTTTAGATCTTAAGAGTTCACTAGGAGCGTGCCCTAAGATCAAAGTGAGAGCTCACGACGAGCTTTCCTCACCGTTCGGGTTAGATCTTAGGAGTTCACTAGGAGCGTGCCCTAAGATCAAGGTGAGAGTTCACGAGGAGCGTTCCTCACCGTTCGATTTAAATCTTAGGAGTTTACTAGGAGCGTGTCCTAAGATCAAGGTGATAGCTCACGAGGAGCGTTCCTCACCGTTCGATTTAGATCTTAGGAGTTCACTAGGAGCATGCCCTAAGATCAAGGTGAGAGTTCACGAGGAGCGTTCCTCACTGTTCGGTCGACACTATGAGTTCACTTGAAACGTTCCCTAGGTCGAAGATGCCAATGTGAGCGGTTGATAAGAGTTTTCTTAGTTCTTTTTAGAACCCTGATAACGGTTGATTTTACGTGTC